TTATGTATTCGAAATGTTGTCGTTTTTGTTTTTGTAATAGTTTTAGAAATGAATGCCATTTTGGCAGCTTCATTTTTGGCTTCTTCCTTCTCTTTGAATATAGGAGAAATGAATCTTTGATTGGCGGCGGCGCAGATGCACCTATATCCTTTTCGGTTCCTACTGAATTCGAAGTCGATCCACTCTCCTTTTAAATTTATTTACGTAGTAGTCGTTTTGTTGTCGTTTTTGTTTTTGTTTTTGATTTCTTTTTTGATTTCTTTTTTTATTAAATTTTTAATTTTCTTGTAGTGTTTCAGGCGGGCGAAACCAAATTGATCTGCAAAAATCTTTCCAAATTTAGGTTTCGGAGGTTTCGGGTAGTTTCGGATCATAGAAAAATTCTCTTGGGCGAAACGTTTCGGATATTGAGAAATAGTTTCGCCTAAAACACTATTTTCTTTGTTTTTCTTCCGGCATCCAAATTTTTCAGAAACTTGGGTTCCATTTTCTTGGTGGTTCAACTTTTCTCTTATATCATGAAGGAAGCTTTCGTACTCTTTCAAAGATATGAGTTTCATCAATAGGTTTTGGCGTCATCTTCTTTTGCTTCTTTTTTAGGTGAAAATTTTTCTTTCGTTGAAGATGGAAATATGGGAAGTTTGTTATTAAGATTTTTTATAGCAGAAAGAAGAAGAAAAAAAAAAAAAAAAAAAAAAGAAAAGCCCAATATATATACGTGTCGTGTTTGTCAATTCGTCTGTTTTCCATTTTTGGTAATTGATTACAAATGTATTATTCTTGATTACGTGATCAATACTTGATTACAAATCATCATGTGCTTTTTTTTAAAAAAAATATTGCAAATAATCGGAATTAAATTTCATTGTCGCGTAAATCAAAATAGAACGTTTTTGACTTTACTGCAATTTTTCCCATGATTACACAGGGCTTTACATACTTTTCATTCTGATTGTTGGGTAATACAAACAAATGATATTCCAGTAAAAGCAAAAAAAAAAAAAACTCAAGTTAAGCTAAAGTTTTCGTAGCTCCAAGAGAAAATGTTGAGATATCCAAATAAATATCAATATCAAAGATGTGGTTTATCAACTTTTGGAAGGTAACAGGATTATTATCCATTTTAAATTGGTATGTGCCATATTTTTTCATTTATCTCAATTAGCCAATGTCTGCCAAAAAGGTCTAACGAATTGAGCCACAAAAGCTTTGTTCAAGGAGTCTAATATATCATCAATCCGAAGAAAAGAAAATACATCTTTTTTTGGTATTGGTATTTATCTCACGATAGTTAGCAGCACAATCCTTCAAGTACCATCTGGCTTTTCAATTAACACAACCAAAGATGCCCATGCCAGTAGATCTCTCAATAATATATATCGTTCAAGTATTTGAGTCATACTGAATTATGGGACATTCTTATAGGGAAATTATTCACCGACTACGATTGATGTCAAACCAACATCGTTCATCCAAGTTGAGAAGAATTCGAATTAAATGCAATATTCCAGAGTAATCGATCCAACCCGAAAGACTTGGAATCAGGATTTTCAACTGGTAAAGTAATGGGTTGAGCAAGCATCAGATTTTCACTGTTTGTCATCACGTCATACCCTGGTTAACCTGAATTGGAATAATTTAAAAATATTACTATTTATTTATATCCTTTGAAGGTAAACAATGAAACCAAATAATTCGAAATAGTTACTTTACATTTTCGGCATATTACATTGCTGTCAATCAAGCTTTAGTGATTTCGGTACAGCAAATAAGTACTTTTTCCCAAAGAAAGGACAGAAATATTTAAATCTTAGTACTGAGCGATATCAAGTAAGTACAAAATTTTATTATTGTATAACAAGGAGTTTCATTTGACTATAATAATTGAACTAACTCTTAATGATTGTAAATTGTAATTTCAATGTTTCTTATTGAGAAAATACTACGAGAAAACATCAAGGAATCTCTAGACCTGAAATCCACGTCGGGGCAGTGTCAAGCGAATATCTTCTCCTATCTCTATTTTCTACATACTGGATGTTCCTTTTCGATTGAGAAAGTTAGAATTATATCGACCTCAAATTGACATGGAAGGTATCTTATTATTGCTATTAGGCGATATTATGAAATTATCTCAAAGACTTTAAGCATGTTATTAAGGACGTCGTGAATTATATAAGTAGATCTGAAGTTTTCCTTCCTCATTTATTTAAATACTCTGTTTATTTGTTATGGATGAATTCACTTCATTATATCTTCACTCAAATTATTATAGATTTATTTCTATTCAATAGCACAATCATGAAATTTGGGTTGTAATAGCTTAAAGAGGGATTATAATTAATGGTCAGTTATAGTCGTTCAATCGTCGATCAATGGTCGGTCAATTGTCTTTGACCGAATTTTTTGTATATTTACTTATTCCTTTAGTAAGTATATTAGTAATTTTGTTTATCATTATAATAATGATTTTATTATTTTTTTAATTTTGATATACATTTCTTTCTCATTTAGCGGCATAACATTATCTCTAACGATTTTTAAAAAAAAATTTAAAGATGAACTGCAAGAATGGTCGCTCATTGGTAGGCAGTTGGATTTTTCCCGGAGTTAGAATGTATATAAGGTAGATATTATTCAGAAAACAACATACGGTACAGAGTTTATTGCAGTTAGAGATGAAGTATGTTGATGAGTGCGAAATATCTCAATGAAATGGTGATGATATAAAAATTAATGATGAAAGTAAGTAAATATATTTGTTTAATGTTTATCATATGTTTTTTATTGTAATTTTTTTTTAATTTGAAAAACTTTTATTATTCGAGGATTTAAATGATATTAATAGATAAAATTAATCCTAAATTGTATTAAGAACAGAAGGAGTAATTGAAAAAGGAGATATTTAAGCTTTAAAAAGAATATAGTCCAAAATTCTTTTTAAAAAATGGGGAGTGAATTTTAACAAGCAGCAAGATTTATTTGGCGATGTTTCAGTTGTAAGTTTTACTAGTCGTTTGAGATTATTTCTATAATTTGAGACTGGTTTATTGAATTAATTGTAGTGATCGTTGTCGTGAAATGTTATTTTTTTTTTTGAGAGTTGTGATTATGTCTCGACAAAGAGATTCATATTAATTCAGAACGTATTTTAAGAAACTGTAAATAATCAAATTAAATTTAGAGTGAATTATATAGTCAGGTTCAAATAAATTTCAAACATGACGTGTAATCTCAGCACGCGTTTGATGGTTTGTTTCGAAGAAAAAATAGCATTCAATATCATCAGACAAAATGCCTTAAGTTCTTGTCAGGACAATTATAAATCATCCACCTGATGATACTATTTTTCACTTACAAGTATATGTGTCCAAATCTGAGGACATTTCTTTCGTTTTAATTGAAATTTGCTGAAATATCTGTTTTACACTTCTATATACCTTTATGATATTATATTAAAATTTGTGTCATTTTTGCAATTTTGAAATATTTAAACAAAAATTTAATAATTGGATGGCAACTAATACATTGTATAAAGCATCTCATATTCAAAATAGAATCAATTTTAGAATCAATCAATTTTATTTGTGGGCAGCAAATTTTGAAAAAAAATAAAAAAATAAAAAAAATATAAATATTTCTAAGAAAATTATTATTAATCAATACACAATATTCCTTTGCTACTAATCGTAAAAATGTTTTATCTAAAATTTTTTCAATTATGAAAAAAACTGATACGAGAATCTAAAAATCTATTTGCCCGGCCTATTGGGAAATTTTCTTTTTATTTCCATTTAGTAATTATAATTTTTTTGTTGATCGGTCGCAATCATTTTATTTTTCCGCGCTTTGGATTTATCTTTTTTTTTTTTTTATTTTCGAGTTGGATCATTAGGTTTTTTTTTTTTCTCCTTGATCAGAAGATTTTTAGGAAAATAAGTTCCCAACTAAAATTAAGAACTTAATGCATTTTAAATCTAATAACATCATAAACTAAAATACAATAAAAATCACAATTTTGTTAAAAATTCCCGGAACCCACCCATATAATATCAGGGCATTTGTAACGATGCGATTATAAATTTTTTTAAAAATAATGTTATGTTTAGAACGTTCACATCTTTCCAATTTAAAGACAAATGAGAAAATTCCAATTTCAAATGTTAATAGTGTTACTATTGAATGAAATTCCGGCCGAAATCTCCATAATTCCGCATGAGAATCGTTTTCGATATTTACAGTGCAGTTAGGGCTGGGCTGTCAAGGTGCCAGGTTGTTAAGGTGCCAATATGACAAGGTGATCAAAACGCCAGGCTGGCCTAATTATTTTTTTTATATATACAAGCCCGGAAATCCTTAAACAGCTCAACATCCCTTGTTATAAAAAAAAAACAAAAAGTCGTTTTCTCCGTCTTAACTTTTAGATTTGGTAGTAATTTCGTTATTTCATTATTTTGTAATATTTTCGCAATTGCGCAGTTTTTATTAATTAGAATTTGACATTTACTTAGTTTAATATATTGATCAAGCGAGACAAACACTGATTAATTTGATAATATTAAATAAATACTTGTCACAATTACTTCATTTTTACTCAATAGATATTCAATTTTATTAAATTAATACCTTCTACTTACAATACAAATCGGTTATTAAATACATAACAAAAGAATTGAATACAACAATAGCATCCGAATGTAATAAAGCAAAATTTATTTTTTCTAATTACGTTTAGCGTAGATCTTGTCAACCCAAATAAAAAAATCAAGTTATCATTATTACTTCGTTCTATTTTGATTTACGCGACAATGAAATTTAATTCCGATATTTGCTACAGTATGTAATCAAGTATTGATCACGTAATCATAAAAAGTTTGGAATTATAAATCATTTGTAATCAAAAAAAAAAAAAAGTTAAAGTCACGATAAAGTATAATAATAATATATAAACAACGTCAAAATTTCCAAGCTAAAAAATTACCAAAAATGGAATATTCAGACACGAGTTGACAAACACGACACAAATATATAATGGGGGTTTTTTTTTCTTTCTTTTTTTTTTTTTTTTTACTTTTCTTTCTTATAATTTTCAATTTGAAATATTATTTCCAACTAGAGACTGGTCTCTTATTCGTTTAACTCGAGTCAACTCGAGTTAAATTCTGATTCGAGTCAAGATTTTCTTGATTCGAGTCAGAATTCGAGTCCAAACTCTATTTCCAACTTTTCCAACTTCACTTTTTTTTCACAAATAAAAATGAATAATTCACAATCTACTTCACAATCTACTTCAAGCACCACTGGTTATAGTATACCAGAAATTGAAAAAGCACTTTGTAATACACCAGCAACCGAAGTTCTTGATGTTATTTATAAAACACGGCAGCATACAAAAGAAACCTTTTCAAATACTGAAGGAGCAAAAGAAGCTGCTTCTAAGAACCTATTGAAAGAAATTATGTCTTCGGAAGATCAGGATATAAGAGAAAAGATGAATAGAACCACCAGGAAGCAAATGAAGATGGAGAGCTATTCAAGTTTCTGAAAAACTTGGACGACGGAAGAAAAGCAAAAAAAATAAAAATTTAATAAAAAAAAGAAATCAAAAAAGAAAACAAAAACAAAAACAAAAACGACAACAAAACGACTACTACGTAAATAAATTTAAAAGGAGAGTAGATTGACTTCGAATTCAGCAAAAATCTAAAGGATATAGGTGCATCTGCGCCGCCGCCAACAAAAGATTCATTTCTCCTGTATTCGAACAGAAGGAAGACGCTAAAAATGAAGCTGCCAAAATGGCATTCATTTCTAAAACTATTAAAAAACAAAAACGACAACATTTCGAATACATAAATAAATTAAAAAAACTTTTAAAAGGAGAGTGGATCGACTACGAATTCAGCAGGAATCTAAAAGGATATAGGTGCATCTGCGCTGCCGCCAACAAAAGATTCATTTCTCTTGTATTCGAACAGAAGTAAGACGCTAAAAATGAAGCTGCCAAAATGGCATTCATTTCTAAAACTATTACAAAAACAAAAACGACAACATTTCGAATACATAA